TCCCGCGTGCTCCCCCTCCCCTTGCCCCCTGCCCTCCCGTCCGCCTCCCTCCCATCCCGGTCCTTACTCCACTCGCTGTCCCCTTGTTGAGAAATACCCTTACGTCGGCTTCTGTGACCGCAGACCATTGGTGTTCTGTCCCTGCCCCTAAGGGCGCGCCACCTCAGTCCCCTCTGCAGGCCTGCTCCTCTCTGCCCAGCTTAGTGCACCGGGTGCTGAATGCACCCGGGGCTCTGGCCTTGCACCTCCTCTCCCCAGGTCCCTGCTCCTTCAGCCTTAAATTCTTCACCATGTTATCCCTAAGAACGTGAAAATCTCTTACATAACCATGGTGTGATGATCAAATTCGGGAAACTTAACATTGCTACAGTAATAGTATCAAACTTATAATACATATTCAATTTTTGCCAGTTTCGCCAATATTGTCCTTTGTAGAAACTTTCCGCCCAATCCAGAATCTAATTCAGGGCCGATCAACGCATTGGCTGTCTTGTCTCGTTAGTCTCTTTATAATCTGGAACAATTCCTCTGCCCTTCATTTTCTTTAATGACATTGACATGTTTGAAGAGTACCAACCTGTTGATTTGCAGCATGCCCTTAAAAAAAATGTTGTTATTGTTTTTTTTTTGTTTGTTTGTTTTTATAGAGAGGGAGAGGGAGAGAGAAACATCCATGAGAAACATTGATTGGCTGCCTCCTGCACGCCCCCTACTGGTGATCAAGCCTGCAACCTGGGCATGTGCCCTGACTGGGAATAGAACTTCTTGGTGCATAGAACAATCAATGCTCAACCGAGCCACACCAGCCCAGCTGCAGCATGCCCTTTAATTTGGGCTTGCCTGATTGTTTCTTCATGATTAAATTTAGATTGTCTGTTTTTGGCAGAATGCTGCATAAATGATGCTGTGTCCTTTTTAGTGCCTCATATCTGGAGGCAGGGGAATTCCCTCGTTGGTAAGTGAGCCATCTCTTAATCTAAAATTGGAGCCCTAGGGGGTCTGGTTCAGTGGTTAGAGTATCTGCCTAGTAGTGAAGGGTCCCCGGTTGGATTCTGGCCAAGGGCAGTATGTCAATTGCAGGCTCTATCCCTGGCCCTGGACTGGGCATGTGCAGGAGATGACTAATCAATATATCTTTCTCACATCGATGCTTCTCTCTCTCTATCATCTCTCTCCCTTCCACTCTCTGAAAAGCAATGGAAAAAATATCCTCAGGTGAGAATTGAAAAATAAAACTGGAGCAGGGTTTCAAGCTGGAGTTTGTGGGACTCTAGAGCCCACATTCTTACCCGTCCACAGCTTTGTGGTTAGACGTCTCAGGTATCACGAGGGGTGGGTGGAGGCACCTACACCTTTCTAAATCTCAGCATGGCCTCTCAGTGGCTAAACCCTGAGTGCTGCCATGTTCTTCCAGCCTGTTTTAATTCTACACAAGGCAACCCTAATTGGTATTGATAGTTCCCAAATACCATATCTTAAAAAAATCAAAACCACAATAAACAAGGACAGTTTCCAAATACCGTATCTTAAAAAAATCAGAACCTTAATAAACAAGTACACCTGCCATTCCACAGGAGCCACTGCCGAGCCTGGTCCTAGGTGAAGTGAGAGGAGTTGGCTGCTGACCCTCAACACATGAAGTCAAAGGGAACCATTGTACACCCAGAGCTGGTAACCGTGCGTTCTGCCCATCTGGTCAAGTGGAATGCAGCTAAGAGGTTTTTCCTTTTAGCAGATAAGAATAGGCCACACTTGAAAAGTTCTCAGAAACTCACGTGAAATCCCAGTTTGTTGCCAGCAAGTGAGATTAAGAAGGTCAGTGCAGGCTTGCAGTGCAGAAGAATATGCCTGGAACTGTGATAAGATAGAAGAGAAATAGAAAAGACTCATATTTCCTTTCCTAAGAGGAAAAGATTCACCATCAGTAAAATGACATAGAAACATAAATTTCAGAAGTACTGTTAGTTGAATTGTGCCCCCCCCCACCCGTTCACATGTTAAAGTCATCCTGTTACTGTGATGGCTCATCTCAATCAGGCCCTGTACTAGGGGCTGGAGACACAGACATTAGGAAGGCTCCAGGTCTGTTCCTTAATCTAGGGTAAGGGACAACACTAAAAAACAGACAACCATGTGTCCAAAGAGTCAGAGAAACGATCTTAGTGGGAGGCAGCTGTATTAGTTTCCAATAGTGGCTATAACATGGCTATAACAAATTACCACACGCTTAGTGGCTTTAAACAACACAGTTATTATCTTAGAGTTGTGGAGGTCAGAAGTCTGAAATGGATGTTACTGGGTAAAAGGTGCCAAAAGGGCTACACTGCTGCTGATGGCTGTAGGGGAGAAGCGAGGCCCTTGCCTTTTCAAGCTTTTAGAGGCTTCCCTCATTCCTCAGCGTGTGGCTCCCTCGCATCCTCAAAGTAGCACTGGTATTACACAGACATCTGCTTTGGTCATCCATGTCTTTCTGACCGTCCTGCCTCCAACTTTCACTTATAAGGAGATTTGTGATTACGTTGGGCCAAACAGATAATCCAGGATAATCTCCCACTTCAAAGTCCAAGGATCTGCAGCCTCAGTTCCCTCTTGCCACATACAGAACATATTCACAGGTTCCAGAGACTAGGATGTGGACATCGTGGGGGTGGGGGGTTATTCTGCCAACCATCAGGGTGTATCCTGTGTGGACATACATCCAGGACCCTGTGAATTATTCCCATGGACTTTAAAGCACAGATGAACCCCACTTGGTGGAAATCAAAGAAGCTTCTTAGAGAAAGTGATGTGTAAAACTGAGTGTATTTTAAAATAATGTTTGTGCCCTGGCCGGTGTGTCTCAGTGGTCAGAGCGTCGGCCTACGCACCAGGGGGTCTTGGGTTTGATTCCCAGTCAAGGTCACATACCTAGGTCACGAGTTCAGTCCCCATGTGTAGGAAGCAGCCAATTGATGTGTCTCTGTCTTATCAATGTTTCCCCCCCCCC